AACTACATATGATGATCGTCGTCGATATCATCTAGAACTACATATGATGATCGTCGTTGATATGACCTTGTACTTCTTGAGGATGCATGTTGACTATGCATGAAATTGTTATCTAGTACTCCATTCGTTCCAAATTACTCGTCGTGGTTTGAACTAAAACCACGACAGAGTAATTTGGAACGAAGGGAGTACTAGTATATGGTAGTACCTAGTATCTGGAAATTGCATTTTATTGAAACCGAAATAAAACGGGGTAGGAAGCGGGGGAAAATGATGAAAGATATAGCAGTAGCGAGGAGCTAGGAAAGCGCTATAGCTAAATAATAGTAGCGTGTTCGGGAAAAGCGCTGCTGATATAGTCAACAGTAATAGCGCGGGTGCTGACCGTGCTACTACAAACTGTTAGCTGCAGCGTCGTAGTAGTAGCGCGGCCGCCCGCGCCGCTGATAGCCTCAAAACCCGCACTACTACTAGGGTTTTTCCTAATAGTGCAAGAAATTTTCTTTCTGACCTCGATGGAACAGGCACGAACCAAAAAAAAAAATCTTCCAGGAAACCAAGAAGCTGGCTGAAAATTAATGGAAAAAGAACAGAGGAGGGTTCGAATCTGAACTCATGGGAAAAACGAAGTTCTTCTAGGAAGTAAGAAGCTGGTAGAACGAGAAAGAGAGCAATCACACAAGGACGAACAGAGGAGGTTCGATTATGAAGTCACTTGAGAAACGAAGTTTTTCCAAGAAATAAAGAAACCACCGCATGAAAAGAAACCAATAATCAGAAGTGGGCGGGGGATCAATTGGTACCTGTAAATACAGCGTGCTGGCCTGCCTGCGATGGTGGTTGGCTTGTTGTTCGGCACAGCAGTAGTCACAAACCCTGCATGTGCAGTAGAAGCAAAACATGCCGGCGCGGCAACTGGCTCCGAATGGAAGCCCCACTAGCCAGCGAAGGAAGCCCGGACGAGCGTCCATCGTGGCGTTTGCCGGTCCAGGAAAGTGGGGCTCGGGCGGGATTTCTGGATTAGGAGCGGCTCTGGTTTCCTTCTTGGTTCGGGGCTTTGGGCTTTGGGAACAGGGGAAGGGCGCGGGGGAAGAAGACGGGGGCGGGGCTGACAGATTTCGACCATCACCGCCGCCCCCGGCAAGCTGCAGCGGGTGTGCGTGAGCTTATGTCCAGCAGTGCTCGATCAGTGTCGTGCTTATCTAGGGCCTGCCGAGCGCGTCGGGGTTCTCCGCCAAGCCGTTCGACTCGCGGCCGTGCTCAAGCCTGGAAGGCGGTGGACCGGCCAGCCACGACACGACAGTCTCTTTGAGCAGCTAATGGCTATGCGGCTGCGGCAGTGGGGCCTGAGCGGAAGCTCACACTGCTGCCATTGTGACCGGAGACCCTGGAGATGGCGGCCAGAGGGCTATGCCGACGGTTGCCCTCGGCAACTACCCATCGACAAAGCCCACATGGTCGTCGGCACAGGGACGTTTGTCGATGGTTTACTAACGGCCATCAGCACAGAACGATCGTCGAAAAAATAGCCGTTAACGTTTGTCTGCCATTCTAGAGACTTTGCCAACGGCAAAATCGTCGGCAGAACTGGGCATGTTGCGGGCCCTAGTACTCCCAGGTGGGCAGCTTTGTTGAGGGTTTTCCCATTGGCATATCAAGCAGACATAGCTGACGGCCAAACCGCCGGCAGAGCTGGGCACGTGGCGGGCCCTGGTGCTCCCATGTGGGCTGCTTTGTCGAGGTCTTGGCCGTCGGCATATCTGTCAGGCGTTATCGACGACCAAACCATCGGCATAACTAGGCACATGGCGGGCCCTAGTGCTCCCAGGTGGGGGGCTTTGGAGAGGGCTCTGCCATCAGCATAACTGGGTGCTATGCCGAGGGATATGCCAAGGGCTTTGCCGTCAGCATATAAGTACTCCATTTTTTTGGGGGTTTTGTTTTGCTTCCGCCCTGCAATTTAAAATACCTACATGCCCTAATCCACATATATAAGATGGATCATCATCAAATCCACATATATAACGTGAAATCCACATATGTAACATTAAATCCACATATCTAACATCAAATCCATCACATAATCCAAACGAAGTTGCAGTCTATGGTCGGGCTCTTGATTGACCCCAAGCACCAGCAGCAATTTCATAAGTAGCACATTTACTATATGAGTGAGTTAAATAAGGAAATACTGCGTTAGCTAAGTTCTGCTGCACACCACAATTCCTTTGGAAATAATTCCAGAGAAAAGATCCACCAAAACACACAGATACGGTATGTCATAGATTATGAAATTTCACTACGAATCGTACAAACATAAGGGCATAAGCACAGATGTGTCCTAGCTAGATATATAGAGACGGCAAAGATGAAGGGCGTGATGTCTAATTTTTCGTGGGTCTACAACTTCCAGGAAATGCACCTACAGTGTAGGTTACTGTAGGTTGTCAGATCATTCATTTGCCTTGAAGAACAACATAACATGGTCAGTAGAGAAAATTTGACAAAACAAAAAGAAATAATTGGTTTTATACCTTTGGTTGTGTCCCCCTCGTCATGATTGGCCCCAGATTCTGAAAACACGTGGTCTTGACCAACCCACTTTGGCGTCTTGTACTTAAGCCCTTTGACCGTTTGACCGTCACTTTGAAAACTTCATGACAAATTCATACTAAATAAAAAAAATGCAAATAAGATACCAAAATGTTCAAAAAAACATCACATGTATGTCAATGTCAGTTGCATTCATGACAAAAGTGTTGGTGAGTGCCCATCCGAGTGTTAGCTCTTATGATACCACCACGAATAATAAAATCTAAAAATTAAAAAAAAATGATGGCAAAGAATGACAAATGTTTTGAGTGCTTGCCAAGTTTCATCAGGGAATGACATTCGTGAAAGCCGTGGCAAAAAGAAATCAACATTTTTGAAAATAGCCCCCCTTAGGTACTTTTTTCGTTTCTTTTGAAAATGTCAGTACACATCGCACATTTCTTTTCGGAAAATATGAACAAATAAACATTGAAACTAACAAGCAGAAACGGGATATATAATGCATGTAGGTGTCACCAATGAGTAAGTCCACCCTACTTTACTGATATTGATTTAAGTGTGATTGCTACTACATAATACTTCCCCCGTCCCAAAATTCTTGCCTCAATTTTTTTTAAATATGGATGTATCAAGTCACGTTTTAGTATTAGATACATCCGTATCTAGACAAATCTAAGACAAGAATTTTAGGACGGAGGGAGTACATGCCTAATTTACAGTCCATAGGGAATTTTGAGCAACAGAGAGAAAAGCTGGACACTTAACAAGCATTAGGCATTAGCACAAATACCTTAGGCTGCGACTGGATTGTCGGATTTCTTTTCCGGTTGTAAATGTTTACACTTGTATCTTACCAGGCACCAGCAGAATCCGGTTGTACTTGTTTTCCACTTGTAAACATTGCTTGGCTCCCAGGTTGTAATACGCTCATCCACGTAGCCAAGGAGGAGCTCCCCGCCGCCGACTGAGGGGGAGCAGAGGAGGAGGGAGGGTACCTTGGTCGAGCATAGGAGGCCGCTTGAAGGAGGCAGAGAGATTTGCCGTCACGGTCAGGACTGCTGGTCAGCGTCGCCGTCGCGGTAAGGAGCGAGTCGCCGCCGTCATCGCGCCTAACCCCCATCGGGGTCAACATCGGCGGCGGCTCACCACGTCGCCGTCGCGAATACCATCGCGTCACCCCCTCGGGGAGACGAGCCCCAGCGCCTCCCGGCAGCGCAGCCTCGATCTAGGCCGCAGCGACGGCGAGGTGGGGAAAAACGACAGGCGCTTGTGTGTATCAGATACCGGCCTGTTACGGGTGTAATATGGAAAACACGTGTAGAAATTACGGCCCAAAACGACGAACCAATCGGCTAACTGAAAGGGGCCCGATTTTTGGTTACGGGGGAGTATTTTATAGGTGTATACGGCTTTAAAACGATGTTCCAAGCGGGGCCTTAGGCGGGATCTTCTATTGATCTCATCCGCTTCTTTTAACTTTGAACAATCGTATATCAACACCTTATTTATTTATTTATTCAACTGCCTTTGGAGCACCAACTGAAACTAGAGTTTGAAAATTCCTAATCTCCAATTTCTCAACCGATTACTGTAAGCTGGGCCTTTGGAGAGATGATAACAGCGTCAATCCATTTGTCAGTTGAGACCTGGGCACCCACAAAGCACCAGATCTTTCAGATAAGGAAAACTCTCAAGCCTTTCACTTGGCAGGGACACAATAGGCCTGTTCGGAGTCCCTCCGGCTCCACCACTCCGCTCCGGAGCGGATGGAGCAGTAGCTTAAAATGTTGGAGCGGTGGTTTGCCGAACGGGCCCTAACTCCCCACAACTGATCAACACTGACAAAATCTTGTGACTTGGAGATTCAACTGTGTGCAGCAGACAACAACAAAAAAAAACATGGGAGGCGTCGAAATTTGAGGCCTGCAAAACTACTACATTAAAGTAGCTAGTGCTTCGTTACTTCTGAAACTTGAAACAAACGCAAAAGACTTGAGAGTCTGAAACCTGCTGCAAACCAAATTGTTGTAGCATACTTCTGAAACCCGATCTTAAAAAAGTGCAGTAATTAAGTAAGCAGAGGCTGTGAGGCTCTCAAGTCATCAGCTAAGCACATGCATACACTGCCTTAGCTAAGCTCTGCTGCACTGCACACTGCAACAAATTCCCTACTATTGAAACGTAACAATCTAGAAACCAGGCTATCAATTGTTGTAGCTTGGTTGTAATCTGGAACAAATAATCATAATTACTCTTATATCTTATTTAGTAAATAAAACCTGTCCATCCAGAAAGCTCACAAGGCAATAATCCGTGTGGACGACTAAACTGTTTCCTGAAGACGAAGCTGGAAGCTAAACTGTTTTCTTAGTTGTCAAGCCTTTTTCTTTACTGACAAAACACCAACCTATGCTATCGATTACTCTTATCAATACTTATATCCATCATCATGGGATGGCAGGAATGAACCACGCCGGAGGCGGCCAGCTCCTGTGCTGACCGAGGCCCTCGACCTTCTCCGTCCAACCGACCTCGAGGCTGTACACACCGACTCTGTTGTCTTCGTCGGCGTTGTGGCCATCCTTGCACAGTTCTGTATCGTTCTCGGTGTAGTAGATGCAGCCGGCCCTGAGCTCCGGGTGCTCCCTCGTCGACACGTAGAGCGAACTGTTCACCCCGACGAACAGCGCGGCGTCCCCGATATCGTCCGTCTCCTTCCACTGTTCCCCGTCAAGGACCTGCACCTTGAAGGAGCACGTCCTCCGAGGGCGGGAGTACTTATCCATGGTCTCCTCCTTGGACTCCTTGAGCACCACCATCAGCCGGCCGCCCGGCGCCGCCACGAGGTACTTGTGGCGGCACAACGACGAATCGCCGTCCGCATTGGGCAGCCTTGGCCTTGGCGCGACCGCTATGCTCGTGAACACGCCGCCGGCATTGGCATCTTGCTCCCACGCCTCTACGGCGCCGGCGTAGGTGATGGAGTGGAACTTGCCGTTGTAGTGGACGGCGTCCTCCACGCCTTCACGCGAGGGAGCCAGCCTCCACGCGCCGCCCTCCGCCGTGGCGAAGGCCGGGACGCCGAATCGCGGTCCCGTGATCAGCATGGCGGCAGCGGGGCCCGGCAAGTCAGAGTCGGAGAGGACGACCTTGCGATAGAAGAAGCGACGCATCAGCCCGGCACCCATCGTAAACGTCCCCTGCGGCGGGCGGTCGCCGCCGACGTGGTACGGGGGACCCCTGAGGAAGTCTTTCGGCTGGAGCATCATGTAGCTGAAGCCGCCCCACTTCTCCAGGAGGCCCGGGATGGTTGTGATGGCCGGGAGCTCACGCTGCTCTCCGGTGACCGGGTTGACGAGGCGCATCCGGGCCCGGTCGTCGGCGGTGACGAGCCAGGCGCCGGAGGAGGAGGAGGAGGAGCCCAGGACGACGTGGCCGTGCAGCGCAGGATCCGGGGCGCGCAGGGTGGTAGCAATGCGGTCGGAGAGCGAGAAGAGCGTCGCAGTCTCCGGGTTGTCGCCGCCAGGCAGGACGAGCCACGGCGCCTCTGTCCTGAACGCGCCGCGCGAGGCGGGGAAGGCGGCGGCAAAGGCCAGGCGGTCGAGGGGGCTAAGGCGGGCGTGGATGTTGGCTAGCATGTCCGGCGGGAGGTCGACGGCGGCCTTTGCTCGATTTCGCCGCATCGGAAGGATCGATTAGGGATTGGGAGGAGGATGGTCTGCGTCGTCGGACTGGAGATTAACGATTTCAAAGTTATTAAGGACGTTTACCTTAACCGCCTATGCCTCACTTCTGGTTTTTTTTTATGACAAATCCCTCCGTTCCCACTAAGATTTTCACCGGCATGATGTCAAAAAAAGGATTTTCTCCTGCAATTTTTTTAAATGATTTCCCCAGCATCCAGAAAAAAGAAAGATTTTTTTTCTGGGTGAAAAGGGGATTCTCATTACTCACGGAGGCTTTTCAGCCAGAGCCAAGTTTACAATAAAGTCTAACCCCGAGTGCAACCAAACAGCGGTGCGAGGGGTGCTCCTGCCATACTTGGCAAGCTCATGACTAACTTTGTTCTGCAAACGACAGCAAAGACTAAAAGAGACCTCCCTCCCCTCCATCATTGCCAGTCTCCTGATTTCGTCAATGACGGTGCGATGAGCCGAGCGGTCCTGCTCACGACCTGTGATCATTGTCACCGCCCGCGCACAATCAAGCTCGACTTTAATGGGCCCTCCTGACACGCCGCTAGCTCTGCAGTGAGCGCATTATCGCGTGCGCGAATTTCTCTACAAGCATTGAAAATGATCTTGCCCTCAGAATCCCGAAGGACCATGCCCCCTCCAGCCAATCCTGTCGCCGGTACGAAGCTACCATCTGTATTAAGTTCAGTATTGCCTAGCTCTGGGGCAACCCATCCTCGCTCGTCCTTGAGAGGAGCCGACTCTCTAGTGAGGATCGGTGGTGCATTGAGTACCATCTTTCCCTTGACCACATCTCCACTTGGGTGTTGTTGCACGCACAAGAGTGAATTGATGTACCCATGAAGGAATCGGCGAGAAGCTTCTGTGGGTGGTGGGCCTGGTGGCTTCTTCTCATGCGTAATCGCACATGCCAAATCCTCCACATGATCTTGAGCACAATCATCCGTGTCGCCTCATCCAGTGGCTCCAGAAGTGTGAAGAGCCATTCCGGCCCAACATTATGGATGGCGTTGACACTCGGTATAGGCCAGTCCAAGGCCATAGCATGCCATAGCTCCTTAGCTAGTGGAAACTTGCAGAATGCATGGAACCCGTCCTCTCGTTCCACACCACAAAGGGGACAAATATCAGTAATCTCAAGGTGGCGAGAGAATTTGTTTGCCCAGGTAGCAAGTGAGTTTGTAACAATCCTCCATGCAAACACGTGTACCTTCGGGGGAGCAGGGCACCCCCATATGATCTTCCAGATCGCGCAACGACCATCCGGTGCCCTGCTCATGGCTGTGGCCGATGGACGCTCGCGCTCGCCCATGGCAAAGCGATAGGCGGATCGAATGGTGAAGATGCCGTTCTTCTCCGGAGCCCATGCGATGATGTCGTCGGTGACACAAGGTGAAGTGCGGACGCTGGCGACCGCGTCGACGTCTGCCGGAAGGAAGTAGCGCCGGAGTAGGTCCATGAGCCAAGTCCCGTCTGGGCCGAGGAGCTCAGCCACCCGCCGGAGTCGGCATGTGCCCTGCTGGGAGACAGGCTGGCACGACGGCTCCCGGGGGACCCACCGATCCTGCCATATGCGGATGTTCTGGCCATCCCCTACGCGCCACACAATGCCCTTCTTTAGTAGCTCCAATCCATATTGTATGGCCTGCCACGTAGAAGAAGCATTTTCGGAGAAGACTATGTCCTCTAGGCGTCCATCTGGGTACTACCTAGCTTTCAACACCTGTGCACATAAACTGTTAGGCTTGATAAGCAACTGCCACGCCTGGCGAGCAAGGAGAGCCTGGTTAAAAACATGGAAGTCTCTTCGTTTTATGAGCTAAGATTTTTGGCCATGCCAACCAATGAGTTTTCGTCTTGCCTTCAGCGGAGCCCCACCAAAAGTTCCTCACCATTTTGTTCAGGTCATCACAGACAGACATAGGTAATTTGAAAACTCCCATGATATATGTGGGAATAGCTTGGGCAATGGCTTTTATCATTATTTCTTTCCCTGCAAGCGAGAGGGTGTCGCCCCAAGCACTGATTCTCTTCAGCAGACGAGACTGCAAATTCTGAAATTTTCCCTTAGACATACGTCCTTCCGGTGTAGGTAACCCCAGGTACTTTTCCTCAAAAGCTACTGTTTCAATGTTTGTGTCAGTGCTGCTGTAATCAATCAATTGTAGGTCAAACAATCAATTTTCATCTGCTCTGCTTTGTGTTTACATTTTTCCAAAGTTTCCATCTGAAGTAAAATTTTCCATGCACTTAGTTCAGTGTTGTTGTCGCTGCTATAATCAATCAATCGGTCAATTAATCATTTTTTATCTGCTATGCTTGTGTCTTCTCCAAGGTACATTACAGATTTCCAAAGTTGTCATTGTTTCAGAGAACTAAATTTGCCATCTCACCAAAATTTGCCATGTGTTTCAGAGGACTAAATCCCTATGAAAACACTCCTAAATTTGCCATGTTCCCAAACTTAGCAGTATGATACCTAATTCACGGGCTAATTTAATTCATGGCAACAATGTGTAAATAATGGAGTCTTGTTTAGAAATCATTATAATCATGTTTTTCTACTCATGGCATACTTAGAAATATTTCTATATTTTCGCATGGGAAATTCACCACATTTTCGGTCTTCCAAACATGGAAAATTCAAGTCTTTTTGCAACACTCCGATGGAAAGCTTTAGGAATTTGGGGTTTCTGCTTTGTGCTTTATTTCCTTGCTGCTTTCCCCTTTCTCCCTGGCTCTTTGCTTGTAAGAAGACATGTGTCGCTGTCTCGGCGTTTTCTCCCAAATACAAATGATGCGCACTTTGGTGTGTACCCGAGAAAAATAGTATTCCCTCCTGTACAAAGTTAGTACAAATTTGAGTCACTTATTTTGGTAAGGGAGTATTAACTATTCTGAACAATGAACATGCAGGCAGATGGTTTCAGGTTTCAGAAGTGCAGAAATGTTATCTAGTTTGGCGTACCATATTGCAGATGGTTTCCCTGATCTAATGATCTAATCTACTTACTATGCAAGCTTTTTAAGACGCATTGGGGGATCAGAAGTAAGCAGATTACACCTTAATTTTGTGTTTGTTTCAAACTTCAACCAAGTTGAGTGGTCAAGATTCACAAGTCGAGAAGTGTTGTAGCCTAATTTTTTCAGGAGCTTGTAAGGCTCATATTTTGCCATGCCATGCATGATGAGAACACAGCATTCCCCTCTCCCCCCGCCCACCTGCATGTGGTGATCAGGGATTAGTTGTTCTTTGAACAATCTACAGGATGTTGTTGGAACTGAATGGTGCAACTAGAAGTGATTGATTCATCAGTTTTTTCATTGAGATATATGATTCATCAGAGTTGGTGGTGTGCCTGCGGTTGCAAATTCATACATTCTGTGCTCGCACATACATACCTGTGAATCGGGAGGGAGAGATGTCTCAAGATTTACAACTTTTTTTTTGAGATAGCTCACCACTCATGACAAGTGGTCTCAAGATTTACAACTGAAACGCAGATCATCAGTAGCAGAGCTCAATGAGCACATGCCACACGTCGCACAAGATGGCAATGGGTGCTGAAACCCGCCCCGTGGGTTTTTACCCTATTAGGGGACACGGATAGGCGTCTTTCTATCCCCGTGGGGTTGCTGGTGGGAACATTATAAAACCTGCCATGTTTCACGGGTTTAAACCGTTTCAGCAGTACCCGAACTCGAAACCCGACAATACCATCAAAATACATTTTTTTAGCATGCCATTGATCAATCTTGAATCAAGCGGCCCAAAGAAACAGAGCCAGTGCGCAAAACCTGGTGGGTTTTGTCCCCGTTACCATCTTGACACGCCGTCACCGCCGAATATGAACCACGCATCCACATCGACCGTCTCTTAGAGTCGAACTGGCCAAGTAATGTTGATTTTTTAATCAGATTCCTAGGAATTTATGCGAGCAAAATCAAGCCCGACCTGTCCACCGCTAAAGCTTGATCAATAATGTCACGCAGACCTAAAGCCCGCCAAACTTCCCAAGCTCGGCTGCAGGTGGACATCAAATGGCGAATATCTTCAGCACCTTGCTTGCATAAGGGGCATTGCGGCGAGACTTTAATATCCCTTTCCCCCCAAAAAAAATCCCTAGCTTCCAAATACATGCAGCTCTTCTCTATTGTTATATATTTGTTACATGAAGTCAAATAATTTAACGTCTCCCTCAAAGAATTTAAAACCAAACCTACAATGGGCACCTTTTGCTGTGTTGCAATTTGATGGCAAAAGGAAGCATCCAAAATTGCTTTCTAAGCACTCCAGCAAAGAACATATGTCGTGTATAGATTCGAAAAAAAAACACATGTAGTGTATAATGCGCATAAACTATTTAGATTTAGCTTCAACCTTGTAATTTAACCCACCCAACAAGCAAGGGAATCAATCATGATATCAACCTATCGTGAAATGCACGGCGTGAACCACTCCAGCCAGCTGTGGTCCGTCCAGAGGCCATCAACCTCCTCCACCGTGCCACCCTTGAGGCTCAACACCACGACGCCTCCGTGGGCGGCATAGTACACACAACCGGCCCTGAGCTCCGGGTGCTCCCTCGTCGACACACACAACGAACCCTTCGTCCCGACGAACAGCGCTGCGTCGCCAATGTCGTCCGTCTCCTTCCACTCCTTGGCGCCCGCGCCGAGGACCTGCACCTTGAAGGACAATGGTGTCCGCCAACCCGTGGTCTCCTTGGTCTTGAGCACGACCATCAGCCGTCCGCCTGGCGTCACCATGAGGTACTTGCAGTTGTCCGTGTCGGCCGGCGCCAGCCGAAGCACTGGCTCGACCACCGTACTCGCGAACATGGTGTCGGCATCCTGCTGCCGCCACTCCTCCATCTTGCCCGAGCATGTGATCGAGTAGAACCTGCCCTCGTGGTGGACAGCATCCTTGACACCGTCAGGCGAGGGTCCCAGACTCCACGGGTCGGCTTTCGGCGAGGCGACGGGCTCGACGCCGTCGCGCGGGGGTGCAAGCCTCCACGAGCCGCCCCCCGCCGTCGCAAAGGCGACGGCACCGTACCCCGGCCCCGTGACCAGCATGGCTATGGCGCCGGAGTCAGAGAGGATGACCTTGCGGTAGAGGCAGCGGCGCAATGTATCGGCGCTCATCGTCACGGGGCCATAGGAGCGCAGTGGGGGCCCCCTGAAGAACCACTTCAGGTCGAGCGTCAAGCAGGGGTTCTCCCCGCCGGTCGTGGCGTGGAGGCAGGGGATGGTGGTGATGGCCGGGAGCGAGCGCCGCTCGCCGGTGACAGGGTTGAGGAGGCGCAGCCGGGCCCGGTCGTCGGCGCTGACGAGCCACCCGCGGGAGGGTGAGGAGCCCATGATGATGTGGTCGAGCAGCATGGGTTCCGGGGCGCGCACGGAGATGGCGCGACGTCCAGAGAGGGAGAAGAGCGTGACCGTATCCGGGGTGTCGCCGGGAAGGACGAGACAGGGCGCCTCCAGCCTGAATGCGGCGCGCGAGGAGCGGAAGGCTGCAGAGAAGGCGAGGCGGTCTAGAAGGCTCAGGCGGCCGTGGATGTTGGCTAGCATGTCCACGGGGAGGTTGGCGGCGCTGGCACTGCCGCCGCGGAAGGGATCCATTGAAAGATCGTTCCCCACGGGAGGTTTTTTTTTAGGGGTGTTCACCACGGGAGGTGGAATTGATTCACGAAATTATACCATCAATGATCTTCTGTAGGTAAACCCAGCCCACATCAATGATCGTGCCCAGTTGGGCCACAATAAGTTTTCCCATGACACGCTAGTAGGCATTAAAACTGGGCTTTGCACAACTTAAAAATATTGTCACAAAAACAAACCTAACTTAAAAATAGCTCATATATCAGCTAAAAACATATAAGAAGGTTGACATCGACAAAACAATGAACTTGCCATGGTAGCGTGAAATAGTTACCATCCATGGACTAATTGAGAAATTTTGGGGTCATAAAATCATTGCAAAATTATACAGTCACATGACAAGTAGAGAATTCTTGTGTCTTAAATCATCGCAAAATGTTTTTAGTGTGACAAGACTAATCATCGAAAAAAAATCATAAATCAAGGCAAGTTTAGAAAATAAAACGGTGGCAAATTTGGACAACTCAATTTCCTAAATCATGGCAAATTAAGATAAACTCAAAGATTGTGACAATGCAAGTTTATGTTTTTTTTTAGACAAAACATGGCAAGTTCTTTGCAAAATACGTAATGGTCACATATATGGCAAACCTTTAGGTGCCCACACAACGAACACATCTTAATAGAGCTAGGAGAGATATTAGAAACAGTAAAATTCAAATCGGCCATCGCACCCAGGAGGTCGCAGGCAAGGGCGAAAGAGGGGGAAATAACATGGATACTTGCATTCAATACATGTGAAAAGCAAAATGGCCAAGACAAAGGTAAAAACCAAGATTGATTAAGGAATTTTAATTTAGTCATTTGTCGGGTCTATTAAGATGTGGCAAAATTGCTTTCTAAACATATATATGTAGTGTAATCCACATAAATTATTTAATTTTAGCTCTCACCTTGCAATTTATCACACCCACAAAACAATGGAATCAATCATGATATCTACTTATCGTGGAATGCATGGCGTGAACCACTCCGTCCCGCGGCCATCGAACTCCTCCATCATGCCGCCCTTGAGGCTCAACACCATAACGCGGCCGTAGGCGGCATAGTAGACACAGCCGGCCCTGAGCTCCGGGTGCTCCCTCGTCGACAGACACAATGAACCCTTCGCCCCGACGAACAGCGCGGCGTCACCAATGTCGTCCGTCTCCTTCCACTCCTCGGCGCCCGGGCTGCGGACTTGCACCTTGATGGACGGTGGTGTCTTCGAACCCATGGTCTTCTTGAGCACGATCATGAGCCGTCTGCCCGGCGTCGACATCAGGTACTTACGGTAGTCCACGTTGGCCAGCGTCAGCGGCAGCACTAGCTCGACCACCGTGCTCGCGAACACGGCGTCGGCGTCCTGCTGCCACCATACCTCCAGCTTGCCCGAGTATGTGATGGAGTAGAACCTGCCCTCGTGGTGGACAGCGTCCTCGACACCGTCAGGCGAGGGCACCAGACGCCACGCGTCGGCTTCCGGCGAGGCAACGGGCTCGACGCTGTCGTGCAGGGGTGCAAGCCTCCACGACTCGCCCCCCGCCGTCGCGAAGGCCACAGCACCGTACGCCGGCCCTGTGACCAGCATAGCTACGTCGCCGGAGTCAGATAGGACGACCTTGCGGTAGAGGTAGCGACGCAACGTGTCGGGGTTCATCGTCACGAAGCCGTAGGAGCGCAGCGGGGGCCCCCTGAAGAACCACTTCTGGTTGATAATCAAGCAGGACTTGTCCCCGCTAGTCGTGGCGTTGACGCAGGGGATGGTGGTGATGGCCGGGAGCGCGCGCCGCTCACCGGTGACCGGATTGACGAGGCGCAGCCGGGCCCGGTCGTCGGCGGTGACGAGCCACCCACGGGAGGGTGAGGAGCCCAGGACGATGTCGCCGAGCAGTGTGGGTTCCGGGGCGCGCACGGAGATGGCGCGGCGTCCGGAGATGGAGAAGACCGTGACGGTCTCCGGGGTGTCGCCGGGAACGACGAGACAGGGCGCCTCCGGCCTGAATAAACCGCGCGAGGAGCGGAAGGCTGCAGCAAAGGCGAGGCGGTCTAGGAGGCTCAGGCGGCCGTGGATGTTGGCTAGCATGTCCACCGGGAGGTTGGCGGTGCTGGTGCCAGCGCCGCCGCCGCCGGGATCCATCGAACTATCGTTCCCCACGGGAGGTGGAATCGATCGACAAAATTATACGATCCAATGATCTTCTGTATATGTAAACCCAGCCCACATCAATCAGGCGCCCAGTTGGGCCACAATAAGATTTCCTGTGACACGCTAGTAGGCCTAAAAACTGGGATTTGCACCTAACTTTTAAAATAGCTAAAAAAAACATACAAAAAGGTTGGCATCGACACAATGAACTTGCCATTGTTGCGTCAAATAGTTACCATCCATGGCCTAATTGAGAAATTTGGGGGTCATAAGATCATGGCAAAATTATACAATCACATGACAAGTAGAGAATTCTTGTGTCTTAGATCATGCCAAATTTAGAGAAAAATGTTGTATTTGGTCACATGACAAATGTAGCGACTTCGTCCTTCGAGAGAAATGCAAAATCTGGAAAAATGTTTATAGTGTGACAAGACTGATCATCATAAAATAAAATAAATCACAGATCCAGGCAAGTTTAGAAAGAAAAAACTGTGGTAATTTGGACAACTAGATTTCCTAAATCATGGCAAATTAAGAAAAACGGGAAAATGGTGACAAGGCAAGGTTAGGATTATTTTTATACCAAACATGGCAAGTTTTTTGCAAAATACCTAATGGTCACATGGCAAACCTTTAGGTGCCAACGCAACGAACGAATCTTAATGCAGTTAGGAGAGATATTAGAAAAAGTAAAAAAAAAACAAATCGACCGGGTCTGGTCATTCACCACACACCCATACCCGACAAATGACTAAATTAAAATTCCTTAATCGATCTTGGTTTTCACCTTTGTCTTGGTCATTTTGCCTTTGTCATTTTGCTTTTCACATGTATTGAATACAAGTATCCATGTTATCTCCCCTCTTCCGCCCTTGCTTTGCGACCTCCTGGGTGTGATTGCCGAGAGCACGACTTCGAGCTCCGACCCGTGCCTTGACTACCCAGTGGGTGCCCTGGTCCAGTACCGCGTCTTTGTGGGACCTCCATCGCTCGGCCGCGCCACCTCGCACTCGGTCACCCACGGCGCATTCCTGCACCACCGGCGGCGGCCTCTTGCCACTTGCGAGCTGGTAAACCGACCTACTAGGTGTGTGTAGAAATTGCTCAATGAGGCAGAGGGGTTGACCGGTTAGCTCACGTCCGTCTCCTCACTCTATTTGCCCCATGACACGTTGACCTGACAATTGCACCTACCCGTCAGATTTGGTATCATACGCATCTAATTGATCGATCAACATTTTCGGAAAACTATGAACACAATAGTGGCGGTTTTTTTGAATTTTTTTTTGAAAGGTGGTGGCTTTCTAAACTAGGGTCCCCAATTGTGGTGTTTTTTTTGCAATTTACACCAGTTCTAAACAATGACAAGGTGGCAAAACGAACACCAATGAGCAGTCTGAATGAACCCTGCAAACCAAATTCCTTTCCTTACTTCTGAAACCCCAACCACTGTCTCAAACAAAAATATGATAGACTGAAGTCACTCTGTGCATTTGAAAACCGAACCGAAAAACCATACCGAAAATAAACCAAACCGAACCGATTTTATGGTTTTTATGGTTTCTGGTTTCGGTATGGTATGAACTTTTCATACCGATTTGAACTTTGGTTTTTATGGTATGTACCGAAAAACCAAACGGTTAACCGAATAAACCGAAGTAAAAAATAAATTTATATTTCTTGAGATGAACAACCATAAAAGTTGTCATTTTTCCTGTACATGAGTTAAATTCACTACTAAGAATGTAAATTTTCTTGTAACATAGTCATTTTTGTCCTTTTAAAATGCTAAGCACGTCCATAACCATCAACAGATGAATCAAAGCATTCATATATACTTATATATGTAGTCATATACAATTTGTGTAAAATAGTATGTGTTTTGAGTCATAAATTTGCAAATTATTATACGTCATTTTCAAATTCGCGTCAACTTTGTTTTTATGGTATATACCGAAACCATACCGAAATAATTTGGTATATACCGAAACCGAACCGTATTTTATTTTCATACCGTATTTACCGAAGTATTAATACCGTACAAACCAAAAAACCGTATACACCGAACCATGTAAACCGAATAAACCGAACGCACAGGGTGTCTGAACCTAATGAACGAAATGGAACGATTCAAGGTGATCAAAAGATTGGTGAGAGACAATAGACGGATGAAAATACAAAATGAAACTAAGGTCAAACATAACTGAAAGGATTGAAGGTCCAAACACCGATAAATAAGAAAAACTAAACGGTGGGCAAATGTACTTGTTTGTTATGTGCTACGAGATAAAGTTGTACTTCTCCAACAAACAAACAGAAAATAAAATGGAAGAAATAAGAATTAAAATTGACATTAGTGAAAAAAAGACAATATGGACCTATCAACTACATGAAACTGAATGACCGGCAAAGATAAGATAACTGGGATGACTAAAAACACTCAAAAACACAAATTTTGGTATTAGCATCCACATACAAATTTGGGTATCCAATTAGGTAATGACCACACTTAAAGGAAAACAGTAGCATATAATGAAATGCAAAATTCTGTAATCATGCACCGCTTGTGGTTTCTCAACAAAGATAAGCTTGTATCCCCACAAAAAAACAAAAAACAAAGATAAGCTTGTATGATAATAATTGGCTAAAGTTATCTGGCTAAGATCCCAAATGCATTTTTGAAAACCTGACCACATCAAGCAATCTATGATGGGAAACCAGGCCACTGCATGCATCTTGTTCAAGTCAAAATTTAGATGAACATACAAAATGTCCACGTTCAGCATAGTACTTGACTCAAATCGATGAGAACACACAGAGCTAGCTAGGTCATCAACATACATGGTAGAGAACACCTGTAGACAACAACTCCCTACCGATTTCCGCAATGCCCTGCTCTCCACACACCAACACAAACGTCAACCGCGACGATTACCAACATATCTAACCCTGCTGGTTGGCTGTATGGATCATGATGATGCAGAGAACAGGGTCTTCCTCCCTTTCGTAAAAAAAACATCCAACCCTGCTGAAAGATTACACGAAACAGCGCCGACCACTCCGCTCGTCTCGCCGGCCAATCCGTTTTCCCGCCCGTCAACCACGAACAGAAACCTCGAAAAAAAAGACAGATGCGCTGCTGTACGCTGAGATGTGCATTCATCCAGATCCAATGACCTCAAAATTTGACTTAATACGAAATCACTAAAATTTAGAAAAAGAATCTGTAATTAAATTGTTTCAAAATTGCTCACAAAACTTCTAATATCATTCAACCTCAATTGGACACCTTTTAGTTTGTTGAAGCCACCTTGGATGACGGTATCAAAGAACTCAGTGAATGGAGATTGGCTTGCATTGTCCTCCACTTACAATTTCTTCCCGTCTACCATTTGAACTTGTAAACAAGATCCTCGGCTTCAGACACTGCTTCCTTGAGATTCGGAAGGAGGGTGGCCACATAGTGTTCATGGCTTCTCCACTCTACTATATCAACGAGATCGTCCATTGCAGGAAGAGTATCCCTTAGACATAGTAGGCCACTTTCCAACTGTAATACACGATCCTGGAGAATTTGCTCCTCTGAGACACTCCATCGATAGTGCAGAGATGAAATGGTAGATTTGGCCCACTGAAACAAAGTGACACATTCGTTGAGGGCGCTAATGGTCCCAATGGCAGATAAGCTTATGGTTGGTTGTTGCAGTCTGTCACATATTCTCTTCCCGCAGGCAAACAATAGACGCAATTAGCATTATAGACGCAACAAGAATTGTGAAAGTAGGTTTGTCTGTATGAGTTAACAATAAGTTGTCTATTCTCGTAATTATTATTTCTCTAGATATTTTCCACCCAAGTTGCGATGATATTAGTTTCACCGGGTACAAAGGCAATAGTAAGTTAGAGAAACATTGTGAACGAATGATCATGGAGTGAATAAAACTATAAAGTTTCGATTCTAGTATGTCTTTGAAATTATGAACAAGAATTAGTGTACACAAGAAGACCCAGTTATCTTCTCTGTCTTAGCCTCATATTAATAACAGAGTGTTACGTTCTGCCTCATATTAACCAAGCTTGCTGAAATTTCCCTTGATTTCCTTTTCAAAAAAAAAAATTGGTTTGCACTAAGAAGCTACAATGTTTTGCCGGACTCTCCTTTTAACAAAACATATAGGAACAGAAAAGAAAAAAATATGGTATCATGGTCACCCAATGAACTTCATATGTTGGAAAGAAATCAAGCTGCAAATCTGGTACAAGAAAGCCGTACGTGCTCACCTGGATCGGTGCTGCTTGCCGCCAACGAGTGCTCGCTGTCAAATGCACGGGATGAGGGAAGAGGGGGAGAACAATGAACACCTAGCGATGTTGGATGAGACCAAGGGGTGGGGTGAACCTATCACATCTCCTGAGGAACTTCCAGGAAGAAGCAACTAACGATGGTGTCGGGTGAGCTCACAACTCTGTCTGCTTTCCGGTGTACCGTGGTGTAATCCATGATCTCATATCTTAAATTTAAGATGCTACCTGCTCCTTTTTGCATATCTTAAACTATATTTTGTTCCCAAGTGTTCTCTTTAGTTGTTAGTTGTTACTGAAACCTCAGTATGTATATATCTTGAGAAAATTACAAGTAAGAGGCGTCCTCTGCTGGTAAAACAATAATTAAGCAACGAGACAGATGCTTTGCTTAGAAAGGAAAATCAGACGCCACCTATTTGGCTGGTAATTAATGTAATTTCTCAACACCTACACCTCAAATCTGCCCGTTCATTAATATTGTTCAAACATATTCAACAGGTAATTAAACAGGTAGGAAGATTCATGTATGGTAGGTAAACATATTCCAGAGTTGGCTTATGAAGCATGCTGTAACAACATATTTGCAGCTTGAAACAATCAAAAGGGAAACCATAAACACAAAATACTATTCTGAACCTTGCAGACCAAGCAGGATTCTCTATCCTCAGGCTATCAATGCAAGT